AATGTCTGTTTCTGCATATTCATTTAGATATCCTGCTTTAGGACATTGATTAATAAAAGACCTTAACTGTGCTTGAGTCGTGTTGCTTATGTGTTTGTTTGAGGAGGAAACTCTGAGCCTCTTAATTGTTCCCATTACGTGTGAAAGTCCTAAATGCTTTTGACTGTCGCCTTAGAATTTTCAAACCTTAGGGGTACGTCTAGAACCACCTATAGGTAGAGGTCCTAACTCTCTCCAGGACCATTAAGAAGGGATGGGTAGCAGCACGCAATAGGAATCATTGACCAAACACTCGCTTTGCATGACCAATAAGGGGATGGAAAGGGTAGACATGGAATATGATGACTACGTGCTAATGTCACGTGTAGCCCCTCATTGAGGAGTGTTTACCAGACATTGCGTGGGGGTGATCCTATAGGATAACCAACCTAGGACCCCTCCTTACCAAATCCTTTCTTTATTTAAACCTTTGTTCAAACCTTTATCTTACTACTTGAGTTACCCAACGTGCTTTACTTGCAACTTATTTGATTCAACCGTTTATATGGACTAATTTGTGAATATAAGTTCGGCCGGGACCCACAATTGTGGACCAAGAGGGGTGCCTAGCACCTTCCCCTCGAGGTTACTTCGAGCCCTTACCCTAATCTCTGATAATGCAAACCAACCCAAGAGTTAATCGCTCTAGGTGCCCTAACGCACAATAATCCGTTAGGTGGCGACTCTTCAAATACCCAATTCCCAAAAGGAAATGAGTCATTACACCCCGTGAATGTCGAAACCCGGACCCTTCCCCGTCAAAAAGTGAGGGAAAAAGGGGGCGCGACAATGTGAACTCGCTCTCTTTAGCCACTTCTTCCGCTTCGGCCTTCATTCTCATGATTGTTGCACTAATTATTTGTATAACCTTTTGATTTTCATCTTGTTGCTCGGCTACTACCCTTATCATCATGTCCTGTTGCTCGACTACTTGCCTCATCATGTCCATTATACGAGCCACGCTTTCCATATCCTCCACTTCCTTGCTCCTATCAAACTCATAAATATTATTAGAAACATCATAATAAGAGCTCTGAGAAGGATAATAAGAATTAGGACAACCATCCCAATGGCCACCTTGATAACCACACACATTACAAAAATTCCACACATAAGGTTGAGATGCACAATCTTGCCACAAGTGTGGTCCTCCACAATATGGACAAGGATCACCATAATAAGAATAACCAATATTCGACCAATTCTCATTCCAAGATGACATATCAACAAAGATAGTAAATATTAAACTAAGATAAAAATTTAATAACTTGAATAGACCAAGAGTAAAAATCTAATCTAGTAGACTAGTTAATTTCTAAGTCTCCAGCAACGGCGCCAAAAACTTGTTGCTCCCAAATGCACACGCAAGTATACGTGGTCGACAAGTAATATAGGATTGTAAGTCTAGATATGGTACCCACGGGAACTTGTGATTAACTATCAAATAAATTAAATCAAACAATTAATCTATTCAATCGAATCCTAAAGTATGAACATTTAACTAAAATTTGATCTAGAGTAACAATTTAAGAGATTAAAGAAAACAACGACAAGCTTAAAGACGGATTCAATGGGAGAGAATATTCTAGATCTATGGGTTAGCTAACAGTCCCGTTGAGTTTTCTACCTAAATTGTCTAATTAATTTATCTAGTTTATTGATTGACAGGGTTAATATTGCTCGTTGCCTTCTCCCGAAGTACAACTCGCCTATTCAAGCTAACCTAGCGCCTATATTCCTATGGAATTAGAATTAACAAGAACGCATTAATAATTCCTGTATAGTAACCAAGCAAGGCGATTAGGTATATTCCAATCCTAACCGCAAATCCGCTCCCCCTTAGAGTTAAGATCTTGCTCTACTCAATCGTATATGCAATCTAGAATTCCCTCTCCCCAGTTCAATCCTAGATTCGTCGATAGTATTCAATTGGTGATCAAACAATAAAATAATTAAGCGCAAGATTGAATAAATAAACCAATAAGATAAAATAATAAGAACAATTCAATGCTTCAAACCACAACGTTCATGTAGCACCCCACAACTCTAGAATAAATAAACTATGAATTAAAGGAAGAGAGAGAAGAAAAACTAGGTAGAAGCCTCCTCCAAGCGTAGTGTGTGTTCCTCCACGTGAATTCTCCTTCAAAGTATGTTAGCTCCCCTCCAAATTAGGTTTAGGACTCCTTATATACGAGTTGGGGAGGTCTTGGGCCGAAATAACATTGTCCCGGACGAAATAGTAAAACTCCCGCCTCCAGCGTCCAGGGCAGCGCCTAGCGCTGGAGGCAGTAACGTTTCTCAATTCTACGTTCAACTTCCTTGCTGCTTTACTTTTGAAGTATAACTTCTCTTTTGTTTTTGTTGTCTCCACTTGGGGGGACAAAACCCAAAGGGTGTCCCCCCTATTTTTTTTATTATTTTAATTTTCTTTCTTTTTCTTCCGTATTTTATTCAATTTTGTTCCAAATCTCTTCATCTTCACACTGCTTTATTTTTACACAATTAAAATATAATATTAAGCATAAGATAATATAATCAATACTCAAAAGACGATTAAGAGTACTAGAATATGAGGCAACAATGATTAAATATATGCATTTTTGGCCGAACATCAGGTATGGAAGGAAAGGAGTGTCTCCTCGATGCATGATGAAATTGGACATGCAGAAGGCATATGACTCACTTGAATGGCCATTTCTTGAGCATGTTTTGAGTGCACTGGCTTTTCCAGCTCAGTTTGTGCGATGGATAATGACTTGTGTACAAAGTATTACATATACTATCATGTTGAATGGTTCACCAACTCAGCCATTTGAAGTCAGGAAAGGACTTAGACAGGGGGACCCACTATCCCCCTTCCTTTTTGTGCTGGCAATGGAATATCTCACAAGAAGATTGAAGGCATTGCACCACATCTCAGATTTCAACTATCATCCTAAGTGTGCAAAGATGCAAATCATGCAGCTTGGATTTGCAGATGACCTTTTGTTGTTTTGCAGGGGTGACATTATATCAATTCAGTTACTATACAATTGCTTTCTGGAAGCATTAGGATTGGAGATCAATAAGAAGAAAAGTTTCATATTCTTTGGTGGAGTATCACAAGCTATTCAAGCAAACATACTGGAGTTCCTGGGAATTCAAAAAGGGGAGTTGCCAGTAAGGTTCCTGGGAGTACCGTTAAGCTCTAAAAGGGTCTCACTAGTTCAATGTCAACCTCTACTTGACAAACTAGTGGGAAGAATTACATTTTGAACATCCAAGCTATTATCATATGCAGGGCGACTACAACTCATCAAAAGTGTTTTGTTCTCCATTCAAACCTATTGGGCTCAAATCTTCATGCTTCCAAAGAAGATTACCAAGTTGATTAAGGCAATTTGTAGAAGTTTTTTATGGACTGGAGACAGCAACATATCAAAGAAAGCTCTACTAGCTTGGGAGAAAGTATGCTAACCCAGGTCAGCAGGAGGCTTCAATGTAAAGAATATTGGTCTATGAAGCAAAACAACTGTAAGCAAGCAATTCTGGAATCTATGCAAAGAAAAGAACAAGCTATGGATACAAGGGGTGCACTGCTACTACATAAAGAACAAACATGTATGAGGAATGGATTATGAGGAAGATATTGAAAGCTATAGAAAACTTTGAGAAAGTAAAATATAACAATGAAGATCTCAGACAGATGCATGCTTGCTCTATCAAGCACATATACCATAAACTGAGAGGAGAATTTAACAAAGTGAGTTGGAGAAAATTGGTATGCAACAATGCAGGATGTCCTAAGTGGATATTCACGATAACTCTGGTGGCAAATGGTAGACTGTACATAAAGGAGAGATTGTTAAAGTGGGGTATTCACAATGATCAAACATGTCCTCTATGCGCACAGGCGAATGAATCTATACAACATCTATTCTTTGAGTGCCAATATGCAGCTGAACTATGGAAGAGGATGCTCAACTCGCAAGGTATTAGCAGGAACATATAGCTGGACTGAGGAGCTGAAATGGGTAGAAAACTGGACAAGAAGTAGAAATGCAAAAACAGAACTGTTCAAGATTGTATTAGTAGGGTGTGTATACTTATGGCAGGAAAGGACGCAAGACTATTTCAAGCCAAAGCGAGAAACTGGGAGATAATTAGCAAGCTAATTGTACAAGAAGTGCATTGTAGAAGTAACAGTAAAATAGTTTAAAGCTTTAAGTAAATTGGATTACTATCCAACATAACAGATAGAGTAACAGACGGATTGCAATAGAGTACGAGGGAGGGAGGAAAAGTATAGGGTTTTGAATTTATTGTAAATATTTTTCCAAAAATGTACCTTATTTTTCAAGTTATCATATATATATATTATAATATATATATATATATATATAATATATATATTATATATATATATATATATTATATATATAATATATATATATATATATATATTACAAATCCAAACATGTCACATTGGGGATTAATTATTTATTAAGTTCTCTCATGTCAAAGAGAATCAAAATTCTTTATATGTAAATTTTTTATTTTATCCCTTGATTGCATGTGGCGTTGATCGACTGATCATATCTGCTAGATGTTGTAAATAATTATAAAGTATTACAAGTAACTTAACCTGATTAATGTCTAATAATGTTAAAAGTCCATGTTTGTTGCACTGCATGCAATTCAAAATGAGTAATTCTTTATATGTTTTTTTGGAATGGAAAGCTGAAAACGGGGCGAGACCATTTAGAAAGAATGGTCAATTTGAATAGGGAAGTAAAAATGGGGAGACATCACGAAAACGCAATGCTGACGTGAGAATGGAATAGAAAAATAATGAAAGAAAGAAAAGCAAAAGGTGCCTGCATCTCAAGGAAACTCCCTCTTCCTTTCATATTTTTGACTTGGCTAACTTGTTATAATAACGAACACCTCCCTATAAATTGGTAGAGAAAAAACTGTCCAGTCACCTCACAAATTAACAAAGACAAGTTTTCTAATTTGCATTTTAGACAAGACAAACAGAGATATGTCATTGGTAAGAGAATCTTTTCTATTTTTTTGTCTAATGATTAAAATTACAGTTTCTGCTCCAGCTGGTTTTCCTGATCATCCACACAGGGTTAGTTGCATTCTAATCATTTGTTCTGATTAATTTCTTCAGCCTAAAATTTGCAATTTTGCACGGCAAATGTCTTTGGATTCTCATCACCTTTTTCTCAATTTTTACAGGCTTTGAAACAGTCACCTACATGTTGCAGGTATTTAATTTTCAATCTTCTCTCATTACTTGTTTTTGCCCTTTAATGAAAATAATACTAAAATCAGTAGATGAGATAGCTATTCTATTTTAGTTAAGTCTCTTTCAAATGCTGTTTGTGTACATTGTCAATGGCTGCTCCACTTGAACCATTCAAAGGAAAGGACTATATTAGTTTCCACGTTTTAGAAAAGGAGTAGTTGATGAATAGATGTGATTATCCATCTCTCTCTCTCTATATATATATATATAACATACTACTTGTTTAGGATTATTGAAAAATAAATATCTTAATTACTCCCCTGCGCTGCTTATATATGCATGGTCAAATAAGAAAAATAGTATTCTTGATCATGACTAATTATTAGGTATTTAACTTATACTACAATATTGAAAGTGTAAATATATTTTATGGATGTCAATATAATTTAATTAACCTGTTGTAATAACTTACTGTCAATGTGACTAGTCCCACTAATTATTGGTAGTCTGATAATGAAAAAAAAATTATATTGTCGCGCATAAAAATTAAACTCAATGTATCACTATATGCAACAAAAAGAAAGTAGTTACTTTAAACTGATTAATACAAGCACATGCTTTTTTTTTTTTGGGTGTGTGTGTATCCTAATATTCATGATCTAGACTTATTTAGGTAAACAACTTTTATTTGTTAATCATAGTAGTTGAAAAGCAAGTTATTAAAATTTTATTTTACAATAGGGAGCTGTCACGCATGAAGATTTTGAGGGACGCAAAGGTACAATAGAAGCCGGTGATTTACAGTGGATGACTGCTGGAAGAGGAGTTGTTCATTCAGAAATTCCTGCACCTGAAGGAACTCAAAAGGGTTTACAGTTGTGGGTTAATCTCTCCTCCCAACACAAAATGTAAGTCAATTTTTCTATTGATTGGATTGTCATTTTTTTTGTAACTAAAGTAACACAAATTTACCCAACTATAGCATTAAATTCATAGAATTGTTTTTTAACAAATTAAAATAACTGTACTAACACAAATGACCGGAAATATCCGTGTAAAGAAATGCATAGCCTGTTTCAGTGGCGGATCCAGGATTTTAAAGTCATGGATGTTCACTGATAAAAATTCTGAAAGAAGAGGAAAAAAGAGTTTAGTTATGGGTTCTCACTCAATATTTAGCTAAATATTTTTATAATTACCTATACAAATTTACTAAATCTTATCAAAGATAATGGGTGCTTGAGCACCCAAAAATGACATGTAGATCCGCCACTGGCCTGTTTGGTCAAGCTTCTTGATCACGCCCACCTATGCCTTATAAAAAGGACTAAGCGGTCGCTGCAAATGTAATCCGGTTTACAAGTCCGGAGTCGAATCCCACAGAGAACTAAGGTAGCTGTTCACTATCACCAAGAAGACAAGCTTGAACAATTCCTAACTTATAGATATTAAGATTCTTGTGTTTAACTACTTAACTAACAAATTAAAATAGTAAATTAACAACTAACGATACTGAGGGTTCGAGAAAAGATTAAGGAGGTCTAGAGTTATGATTTCCCCTATTGTCGGAATCCTTCCCGCTATGTCTTCTATAATTTCGCCTAAGTATTCTCTACCGATCATGAGCACTCTTATTGCCGTAAATCTCTCCCGAGTAATTACGACAATTTACTAGACGCACTCTCCCGAGCTACGCTAGCTGGATTTTAATACAGCTCACTTCAGATCGCACCCAAGGCTTCGTTATCCCTAATCCTGCCTTTAAACCCTCGGTTATTGATCCCTCATATACTCTGTGAGTGGTGTTGTTCAACAATTACCTAAATATGCACTCTCTCCCGAGTTATGCATACTAAATAGGCACAGCTAATTGAGAGCTCTTCAACCAACCACAATATAAACGTAGTTGAACAAATAGAGAAAAGCTATGGCTCAATTATAAAAACATAACAAGAATTTATCCTACAAAAGGTTCTATCAAAACTCTAGATAACAAATTAGCTATTCATAATAGTATGTAAAACTACAATACTAAAAGTCATAACCAACAATGAAAAATAGGAAGAGGAAGGAAAAAACTCGTAGAAGAATTCTCCGCCTTGCTCCCAATGTGTTCTTGCCTCCAAGGGTGTTGTCTAACCCTAAAGTAGTGTCTCTTCGCCTCCTTAGGTCTAATTTGTGTCCAAAATATGTCCTCCTCTTGTTCTTGGCCGGCCTCCTTTGTTTAATATAGGGTTTAGGACTTAAAATCCCATGTTTTGCACTTTAGTCCCTGAAATTTTCGCTTCCTGCCGCGGTTTTGTGCCCTCTGATTCTTCAGTTGTCCGCGACCATCTTCTACCGCGGTTCTGCCGCGGTCGCGGCAAAACCGCGGTTTTTCACCCTATTCCGTTTGGAATTTGGAAAAATGTAAAACATGAAAGTTGTAGCCCTTTGAGTTAGCTTTCCAACCATATATTATGGAGCCCAAATGGTGTTCTGAGCAAAAAGTTATGTCTATTTTACTAGACAGTGCATAATATGCCTCCTCAAGTCTTCGTTCGTACTTAATTATCAAATTTGACCCCCGAACACGATCCCGGCTTAATTCCTTGAGCTTTTACTCAGACTTCAAAGCTTCAAATCACTTAAATTCATTTCACAACATCTATATAGCTCGGAATCACACCTACAAGGCATAAAACACACAATTAGTGCAAAACACTAGCGATTAAAGCGCAAACTCAATTAAAGTGCAGTAAATTCGAGTGTAATAAGCGATTAAAATATGCAATTATAGCCTATCATCAATTACCTATGGCTCATAGCTACTTATGGTTCCTCATCTCCATATAAAATCTTTCCCAGATGTGCTCATTCTATATAGACTTTTAGTTAATATTTCTGCTGCTCATATGATAATTTACATATGCTAATATGTGAGTGTTACTTAAAGTGCACAAAAAGTGATGTAGTCGGAAAAAAGCTTCATTGTAACGTTAGTTATCAAAAGGATTAGGCTATTTATAGTTTGTTTAGTTATTTGCATGTACTTTGGTAGCGTGAAAATAATATGTTTCATAAAAATCACAAGAAAAATTCAACATTCATGGATCTCTTGTCTAACTACATCCTTTTGATCTATTTGATAATATTGATACCTTTAGTACAAATTTACGTAAGTTCTTGCATTGTTTTTTTCTATCACTTGCATTAAAGTAGTGCTTCCATTGGCAAGCCAGCTAGAGAAAATACTGTATATGTGATTTACAAAAACGGAATATTTTATTTTCTCAATTTATTACATTTGCAGTGTGTATACTAAGTTTCATTCTTCGATCTTCATGTAACCATTTTAAATCTATCTACACAAGCTAGACGAATCGAAGTTATATCACACCTCTCTTAATTGCAAAATATTATGTATTCTAAGACTATTGCAGAACTCCACAATTCAGTTTCTTGGCCGGATAACTTTAGTAGAAAAATTACTTCTCTCACAGTCGAGTCATTTATAATTTGGTACATATCAATTGTGTTACATAAAAATATTGTAGAGATATATGCTCTAATTTACCAAGGATGCCCAACCTGCAACAAATACCCTTCGATGGCGTAAATTTATCACCATGGCCACCAGCATAATCAACATAGCAGATTTAAATATAAAAGTGAGTGATATATAAAAATATAGTATTATTAACAATATTAAATAGTTGTTGGGCCCGGGCTTTGCCTGGGCACACCCTCGCTAGTAATATATATAAGAGGGACATAATATCTTACGTTCTTTACATCAAAGCTAGAGACGAATCCACGTGTCTGTTCTATCTTAGATTGAGTATAAGGGAGATATAGTGTCTAGATCAAATGCATATAAATCTATGTGGGTTTTGAAATCGTTAGTTGAGCTTACTAATATAATATGGCAAATTCTTCCCGTCTTTGCATGCACCGTGCTACCTATAGTCCTATATTTCTCATCAAATCTTTGTTTGGCGAAGATTTTGCTACGTAATACCGCGTTACGAGTATACTTCCAGACTTGATAAGAAATACATTGTTAATTACAGGTAGGATTTTAATGAAAAAAAATATTGGTAACATGATAAAAAAAAAACGGGGACTAATCTGTTATAACAGGCTGAATTTATACTGTCAAATGTCAACATATAAATGATTTAAATCCTAAACAATATTTATTTAGGAGTAGGAAATTGAAGATCTTAAGTGCCTTGAGGTTATTACTTATTATTACTTGAGTTGAATAAGTTTTAATTTGAATTTTATTGGTTCAAATTCAAAATTATATCATATCGCTACTAGGTTCATAATTTAATTTTGCACTTATTTAGTAAGATTTTTAATACAAATACAAGATATAAGTAAAAGTTGCTGGTTTCAGATGAACTCGTACCTGGTTCATTGGCTCCCCACCCCGATCCTGTAGCATTACAAAATAACAGGAAGCGAGTGATTTTATGGTGTGCCTCATACAACTGACATTAATCGTGTGAAGCATCTTTTTAGAGCAAACTTCATTTATAGCCCATCGGCCCAAACATATTTCACCCGGTAGCCTAAAAACTGCAACATACATTTTATAGCCCAAAAATAATTCTAGTGGCTAGTCCAAAAGTACTGAGGCTCAGATCTGTAAAAACAGAGGCGGCCACGCTATGGCTACAAAATCACTGATTGCATCCAATTCTCAAACGGCTGGAAAATGGCGTCCAAGTTTGGGTTAGCTGGTGGCATACCGGAGCGTAGAGTTCGACCCATTTGGGATGCCATTGATTCTCGCTAGTTCAAAAATGCTCTCAAGCACTGCACCCCTCTCCTCTCCAAATACCCCAATTCCCCTTATGCTCTGGCACTTAAAGCTTCGGTTTTGGAAAGGATGGGTAAAGTGGAAGAAGTATTTTCCGTTTGCTTAAATGCCAAAGAGCTTTTGTACACTAATGACTCTGTCTTGATTGACGATCTTACTCTCAGCACTCTACAGTTTGTTTTCCAACGATCTGACCACTGTCAGTATCTTGATGTTTTCTACCGAGCTCGCCATTCATTCTTTTTGACTCATTGTTTTGTATCTTGACAGTGGATATGGCAACAAGTTGCTACGAGTATGCTTGTGCGAAATGACTGTATAGTAGTACGTATTTCCAGAAATTCAAGGGTTGTTGATTTTGTTTTAAAAGTGGAAAAGGAAAATCATTGGCTAAAGAGAGAGGGGCAACCACTCTTTGAATAAAAATCCAAAGCTCTCTGTTATTGCCTCATTTTTTCTGGGCTAACTTTCTTTGCTAGGGAAATCCTTTGGGTTTCACCAAATAAATTTCCATTTCCACATGTATGTCATTAGTTGATTTTGATGGAAATTATAATTTCAGGCCCACCATTAGTATATATTTACATGGATATTTATGTATTTCTTTCGAAAATAGATTTGAATATTGGTATATTACAAAATATATACAACATAGACTGTCACTATACAAAAATTATACAAAATAGACTGTCACTATACAGTTTATATACAATAGACTGGCACTATACAAAATAGACTGTCACCATAAAAAATATATACTAAATAGACTGTTACTATACAAAAACTATACAAAATAAACTGTCACTATACAAAATAGACTGTCAATATACAAAAAATATACAAAACAGACTGTCACTATACAATTTATATACAAATAGAGTGTCACTATACAAAATATATACAAAAATAGAATGTCATTATACAAAAAATATACTAAATAGACTGTCATTATACAAAATATGTACAAAATAGACTATAACTATATAAAAATATACTAAATAGACTGTCACTATACAATTTATATACAATTAGCTCTGACTATACAAAATAGACTGTCACTATACAAAATAGACTGTTACTATATAAAAAATATACAAA